TAGTCAGTTCTTCATCTAGCCTACCTATTGTACTCTAGCTAGACCTAGCCTTGGGCGGTACTAGGTGACTGGTGCTAGTGTGCCAAGCTTAGGAGGCTAGGTGGTGCAAGGCCTGCGGCTGTCTTATCCAGTCTGCGAAGTCACCCTTAATTTTGTACAGTTTATTAGCTAATTCTGGCACTAATTTAATAAAATATATTAATAATAATTGATTATATTAGCTAATTCTGTTACTAATTAATAAATTAATAATTGGTACTTTAGTAAGTTGGGCACCAGTTAAATGTGTTTAGCAGTAATCAATGAATATTGGCACTAATGTACTAAAATAAATTTATAATAATTGATTATAGACAACTTGGGCACTACTTTAGTAAGTTGGGCACTACTTAAGTGTGTTTAGTATTAATCAATGAATATTGGCTAACTCTGGCACTAATTTACTAAACTAAATTGATAATAATTGATTATAGATAACTTGGGCACTAATTTAGTAAGTTGGGCACCAGTTAAGTGTGTTCAGTAGTGATCAATTAATCTAACTCTGACACTAATTTGTTATATAAATTGATAATAATTGGTTATAAATAATGTGGGCTCTACTTTAATAAGTTGGGCACCAGTTAAGTGTGTTTTAAGTTGTAATCTATTAATATTAGCTAACTCAAGCACTAATTTACTTAAATACATTGATAATAATTGATTATAGATAACTTGGGCACTACGTAAGTAAGTTGTGCACCAGTTAAGCGTGTTTAGTAGTAACCAATGAATATTGGTTAACTCTGGCACTAATTTACTAAAATACATTGATAAAAATTGATTATAGATAACTTGGGCACTACTTAAGTAAGTTGGGCACCAGTTAAGCGTGTTTTGTAATAATCAATTAATGTTAGCTAATTCTGGCACTAATTTGATAAAATAAATTGATAATTGATATAGATAACATGGGCTCTACTTTAGTAAGTTGTCCACCTGCAGTTAAGTGTGTTTAGTAGTAACCAATGAATATTGGCTAACTCTGGCACTAATTTACTAAAATACATTGATAATAATTGATTATAGATAACTTGGGCACTACTTTAGTAAGTTGGGCACCAGTTAAGCGTGTTTTGTAATAATCAATTAATGTTAGCTAATTCTGGCACTAATGTTCTAAAATAAATTGATAATAATTGATTATAGATAACATGGGCTCTACTTTAGTAAGTTGGGCACCAGTTAAGTGTGTTTAGTAGTAAGCAATTAATATTAGCTAACTCTCGACACTAATTTGTTATATAAATTGATAATAATTGGTTATAGATAACATTGGCACTACTTTAGTAAGTTGGGCACCACTTAAGCGTGTTTAGTTGTAATCAATTAATATTAGCTAACTCAGGCACTAATTTGCTAAAATAAATTGATAATAATTGATTATAGATAACATAGGCTCTACTTTAGTAAGTTGGGCACCAATTAAGTGTGTTTAGTAGTAACCAATGAATATTGGCTAACTCTGGCACTAATTTGCTAAAATAAATTGATAATAATTGATTATAGATAAAAATGGGCACTACTTTAGTAAGTTAGGCACTGGTTAAGTGTGTTTAGTAGTAATCGGTTAATATTAACTATCTCTGACACTAATTTGCTATATAAATTGATAATAATTGATTATAGATAACTTGGGCACTACTTAAGTAAAGTTGGGCACCAGTTAAGTGTGTTTAGTAATCATCAATGAATAATGGTTAATTCTGGCATTAATTTACTAAAATAAATTGATAATTGATTAAAAATAACGTGGGCACTACTTTAGTAAGTTGGGCACCAGTTAAGCGTGTTTTGTAATAATCAATTAATGTTAGCTAATTCTGGCACTAATTTGCTAAAATAAATTGATAATAATTGATTATAGATAACATG